ATATTTATTTTCACCTTTTTATGGTTATAATTTCTCATATTTAAAGCTTTCACATTAAATATGAAAAATCATATCATACAAAGATGAAAATAAATATAACCGTTCGATCAACATAATCAATCTAACGGTGAAATTGATTGGTAGTAACATTGGTAGTAATACTAATTAATTGTTATAATATCTTACGCCATAAATCATATGTTAGGAAATTATATTTTCTAATAATCATTGTGGGTTACATATTATATTAATAATTATATTGTACTATTTATATATATTGGGTAAATTAAGGTGATCAGTTAAATATTTCCAAATAGATTCCTAAGTGAGTATGGGCTGAATGAGTGGATACTGATGTTGGGCCAACTAGGTATAATGGGAGCTTATTGGCCTAACAATAAAGATAAAAACACTATAAGGGTTATGGTCCCCAAAACATCAAATTAACAACCCTAGTTTCTCTTCTCCATCAAGAGAGACGACACACTAAAAAATTCGGTTTTAGGGTGATTTGATTGAGGAAGACTACAAACCCCAAGAGACAAGATCAAAGTTATTCCGCTGCAATGGAGACAGGTATGCCTCCACCTTTATGTTCTTATTTCTTTATGATTTGGTATGATGGAGCTTGGCTTGTAGGTGATAGTTATTACCAAAAGGTTTAGAGGAATTAAAAAATTCCAACATCATAGTCATATTTGTTGTTTCAACTTTGATTTGGTCATAACAAATCACAATCTCAATAATATTCTTTCTTAATTTATTTTGCAAATAATTAGGTTTTACAATACGGCAAAAAAATTAATTTAATGCTTTTTAATAAAATAATTACGCATTTATTACAGTTTTGAAAATAATTACGAATCTATTAGAAAATGTGATGTCCCATTGAGGCGTCTCACCCTAAGGGGAGACGCCCCAATGGGGCATCACTTATCAGGTGTTGACATGTGTCATTTTTTTTTCAAAAAAAATAAATAATTTAATCATAAAACTTTTGAAGGCCGTAACTTTTGACTCGAGTATCCAAATCAGGTAATTCTTTTTTTGATTCCACATAACTTTACGAGATCTACGCAATGATATCTCATTTGATATATTTTATTTCTCACAAACATAATTTTAATTTGCAAGAATGGTATTATAAGAGCGGTTAAACCCAGAAGCCTCTCAGTTTTGAGTTTGTGATTTAATATAAAAAAATAAATAAAATTTTTATTTGTGATTTAAATATTTTTTATAATTTTATTTTATTATAGCAAAAATTTGGTTTGTGATTTAAATTAAAATAAAAATAAAAATTATTATTAATAAGGAAAACAAAATAAAGATTTGATTTGTGATTTAAACTAAAAAATCAATTTGAAAAATCTGTAGAAATAAAGGAAATAATTAAAAAAATATTCTAAATCTCTAAGAAAGAAGGATATTATTTTGAAATTAATGATTAATGCTATAAGCTTCTGGGCTATTATTCATGGTTTGAAATTAATGATGGCTTATGAATATTTTTCAAAAATAAAAATACCTAAATTATGCGTGATTGCCTCTTGATTGAAACACAATTTAGACGTGATTGGTGACGTGTCATGTGTTGACACGTTTTGACACGTGTCACATTTTTAAACTCAGAAGCCTCTGAGTTCTACGTTTGTGATTTAATATAAAACATAAATCAAGATTTGATGTGTGATTTAAATTAAAAAATAAATTTTTTATTTTTATTATAAAAAAATTTGATTTGTGATTGAAATTTTTTTTATTATAACAAAAATTTGGTTAGTGATTTAAATTAAAAATAAAAAAAATATTATTAATAAGGAAAACAAAATAAAGATTTGATTTGTGATTTAAACTAAAAAATCAATTTGAAAAATCTGTAGAAATAAAGAAAATAATTAAATAAATATTCTAAATCTCTAAGGAAGAAGGATATTATTTTTGAAATTAATGATTAATGCTATAAGCTTCTGGGCTATTATTCGTGGTAGGGGTGTTCATCAACCGATCCAAACCGATTCAAACCGCGAAAAATTGATAACCGAATAAACCGAAAATCGAAAAATCGAAAACCGAAAAAAATCGCAAAATTTAATTGGATTGGATCGATTTTCAAATGGGTTGATGAAAACTGATCCAATATATTAATTATCCTTTACTTACTTGTCCTTTCCCCAATCATAGCCCAAAAATTTCTAAACTCAAGACCATTAACTCATCAACTAAATCCAAGAAAAAACTTAGTCACGTCTCATCAACTATAGTATTGTTTACTGATATTTTTGAATTTCAATTTTTTTTTTACAAAGCAATATATACAAAAGATGTTATTTGCACAATAATCGTGAAACTAATTTTAGAATATTCAAAAAACTGAAAACCGATCCAATCCAAACCGAAAAAATTTGGATTGGATCGAATCGAATCGGATTTGAAAAAAGATCTAAACCGAAGGGATTGGATCAGATGAGTTTTGCTTCCAAAACCGATCCAATCCAGACCGCGAACACCCCTAATTCGTGGTCTGAAATTAATGATCGCTTATGAATATTTTTCAAAAATAAAATTACCTAAATTAGGCGAGATTGCCTCTTGATTGAAACCCAATTTAGACGTGATTGGTGACGTGTCAGGTGTTGACACGTGTCACATTTTTAAACTCAGAAGCCTCTGAGTTCTGCGTTTATGATTTAATATAAAAAATAAATCAAGATTTGATGTGTGATTTAAATTAAAAAAGTAAAAAAATTTATTTTTATTATAAAAAAAATTTGGTTTGTGATTTAAATTAAAAGTAACAATTATTATTAATAAGGAAAACAAAATAAAAATTTGATTTGTGATTTAAAAGCAAAAATCAATTTGCAAAATCTGTATTTAGAAAGGAAATAATTAAATAAATATTCTAAATCTCTATAGAAGAAGGATATTATTTTGAAATTAATGATTAATGCTATAAGCTTCTGGGCTATTATTCATGGTCTGAAATTAATGATGGTCTGAAAAAAAAATTACACGTGTCAACATTTGATGAGTGACGCTCCATTGAGCATCTCCCCTTAGGGTGAGACGCCTCAATGAGGCATCACATTGTGCAATAGATCTATAATTATTCTCAAAACTGTAATAAATACGTAATTATTTTATTAAAAAGCATTAAATTAATTTTTTTGCCTTTACGATACAATAATAAGAACAAAAGATATTAACGTTATTAAAAAAAAACTGTGATTATTTAATAAAAAGTCATTTGATGCAAAATATTAAAAGATTATAATGTTTTGGAAATACAACAATCATACTTTCATGTAATTTTCGTATTTTTTAAACAATTATTTAAAGGATATTATATATATATATATATGTAGATATTAACAATAATGGAAATAATAGTAACAATAAAGAGTAATTTTCTAAAATATTTTGAAAAAATAAATTGCATTTTATATTGTAATATCATACAAAATCCATGGAAATGAGGAAAATATCTTAATTTACAATTAAATACGTAATTTTACTATTTTTTCTCTCCCCTTTTATGATTACTGATACCCGAATCTTAAATTTTCCTAATACTTAATAAATGAGTAAGCATCCATTAGCACTAAAATACTCGAAAGTGAGAGGCTATTCCATAACACAAAGCAGAAGCAACCATTTTCGTGCCCCGGTCACAGGGAACAAAGCACAAACCGTCAGGTTTAATACGTAGATACCAAACTTTTGTGATTTTATTTGCAGAGGCACACACGTGGGGTTTGTTGGTTACGCTCTCTCTCTCTCTCTCCATAGACTAAATCATACTAGAAAGTAACTTCTTTTCTTTCTACACTTGACATTCAAACTAGTGCAAAGGACGAGGTTCAAACTTCAATGACAAGTGTAAGCTCTTGGAGAAAAAAGATAGATATTGCACATATTAAGTTGTATCTTTAAGCTATCAAGATAAAAATCTCAAATGATTTTTATTTTATATCTAAACATTTGTTTCTAGCTGTAGTTCTTCCTAGTATTAGGGGTGGACATAGTTGCTCCGAAACAGTTTTGAATTAGTTTCGAATCCTTTTTCCAAATCGATATTTTGTTTGATTCTCAAAAATAGTTCAAAAAAGATATAACTTGGGTTCGGTTGGATTTGGTTTAGTTGAATTCCGTTATTTTACACACCCTACTATTATATATTTGCTTGCCCAATATTTTGGAATCTCTTAATAACCCAACACTGGGTGAAGGGAAGAATGACTTACTAGGAATATTTCTTCATATTTTCACTTCCCTTTTTTTTTTTTTCTTTCTTTGGTTGCATTGCTTTCTTGAAAAGAATTATTTTGTATTTGAAGCAAAATTCAGAAAATACTTTAAATAAAGAGAAATATTTTGGCTTTTTTAAAAGAATTAGTTTTTTTTTCCATGTTGTAATAGATAATGTTATCTCCTACACATAAAAATGTGTGGGGTCTATCTGAGACATGTGAAGAGAAGAGAGAAAAAAAAAGAATATGAGCTACTCTCATTTTTATATATGTGTAGGAGATAAAATTATATTCTACAACATAAAAAACATTAAAGTCGAAAATTTTGTTTTCCAAGAAGTGCACCATTTTGGTTTTTGTTTTCTTCTAAACTTCTGCCATTCTCGACAATTACATACACGCGCTTAAAATAAAAGAACATTTATTTTGGTAAAAAATAACTTCTTGAAGAACAAAAAAATAAAAATATATCATTCAAACGGAGGCTCCACTATTTGTCACTACGAGAAACAAGCAATTTAAAATTAAATGCAAACTGTGAAGAGTTAACAAAAAAAAATGCGTAAAAGAAAGAAAGGCATTCCCACTGCCATCTACTCTTCCCATTAAAAAGGCAGTGAAAAAAAAAAGGAGAGGAAAATGTTATAGGCATTACCAATGTATTATCATTTTTATTTGAAACCAACTTTATTAGCTATGTTTTAGTGTGGTTCAATCCCGGAATGACTTTTTTACATGCCCTTCTTTCTAACTGTTGTCGATGAGTTGGTCTTGTTCATCCTTGAGTCTTGATTTCGACAAATAAGACTTGAGCTTATTTACATGTGACTGTTGAACTGGTTTCAGAAAGAATTCTTCAGCTCCCTCTTCCAAGCAACTGATCCAAACAAAAGTCAGGTCTAATCAGATTTGAAATTCAAACATGTAATGCTTCATAATATGTGAATTAGACATATTTAAAATAATTACATTAGTATTGGATTGGCTCATGGGATACAATTCCCTCACCTTTTAATCCTTGATGGAATATCCTCTGAGGACATAATCACAATTGGTATGTCTTTTTTAAATTCCTGCAAACAAACGAACATCTATTAATTTTTTAATATCATGATAGAGTTGTAAACAACCAAATTCCCCTCAACAAATTTGGTTTGAGATTATTTACAAAATAAAAAAATTGGTTTGAAAATTATTACATTGGAAATTTGGGAAATATCCCTTACTCCGATGTCAGAAGTGATTTTTTGTATTTTTGTATTTTTTTTAATGGGGAAGGATATTTGTAACAACCAAGTTGTGTTACTACCATGTTACTACCAATCAATCTCACCGTTAGATCGATTATATTGATCCAACGGTTATATTTATTTCTATCTTTGTATGGTTATGATTCTCCATATTTAAGGTGAAAACATTAAATATGGGAAATCATAACCATACAAAGGTGGAAATAAATATAAAGTATTAAATTTGAGAAATCATGATCATACAAAGATGGAAATAAATATAACCGTTGGATCAACATAATCGATCTAACGGTGAGATTGATCGGTAGTAACACAACTTGGTTATTACAATATCCTTTCCCTTTTTTAATATTATTTAAAAATCCACAACATTTGTATTAAAAAACAAAAATCCACTTACCACCAAATTTTTTTACAACTTTTACAACCAATTTAATCACCGTTGATTTTTGTCATTCTAACGGTTACAATTTATTGAAAATTAATAACATTTATTCTGTCACGCTTACTAATTAATTATTAATTTCCAATAAATTATAACCGTTAGATTGACGAAAATCAACGGTAATTAAATTAGTTGTAAAAGTAATAAACTTTTCTGGTTGTAAGTATATCTTGTCCCAAAAAAAATAGGATTCTATGTTTCAAAAAAAATAAAAAATAAAACAAGATCTCATCTTTTTCAAATTATATTCTAAATAGAAGAGCAAAATAATTGCAAAAAGAAAAAAAAAAATCTGATCACAGTGCATAATTTGGCCAAGTTCTGTCATGCATCCAAATTGGAAATAAGCAGAGAATTATACAGAAAATAATAATAATAAAAAAAGTGACACAAGCCTCTTGAAATAAACATTGGAAAATACAAAAGAGCCTACCTTGATTTTTCTCATCAGATCATAGCCCGTCATTTGTGGCATACTGTAATCTGTTATGATCAGGTTTACATCAACACCCTGATGAATATTTCAATCAAAGATCAATACAAATTGATCAAAGTCATACACATGAGTAAGTTACTGAACAAAATTGAACCTGATGAATGTCTGAAGCAACAGAAGAGTCAAGAGTCCTCCCCAAACCTAGAAATTTTAAAGCCTCAATGGCAGAGTCCACTGCAGTAACTGTAGTTTCAAGACATCCACAAGAATCAAATATCAAGTATAAAATTCATTAACACAAATCTCACCATCAAAAAAATTACTTACAGACTACACAAACAACATGCTCATATGTTTGTTTCAGTATATGGCAGCAATACGCTGAAACAAACTTACAAATTACACTATATTTTACCGGTAAGATTTTACTCAAGAGTGTCTTACCAGTAAATAAATATAACATTCCCCGTATAATATAACTTCATATTTAACACACACAAAAATATATAAAGAAGAACAAGAAAGTACCATGAATGGAAGAGGTTTTTAGGAGCCTCACAATCACCATTCTATCAATAGGACTGTCATCAACAGCCAATACATGGAACTGTGCCTTTGAAGCCATACCCACAACTTGAAGATATTATGTGCAAGCCAGAAGCCACAACAGAACAAAAAAGATGGATGAAAAAAAGAGAAAAAAGAAGAGAAATATATAGAAGGCTCTGAAGATTGTGATGAATCAGAGTTTGACATTTTAAATGGCAACATATCATGGTCAGAATATACACTGTCCTAAGTAGAAAATCTGACAGTTTGGAAAACGATACCACTCAATTACTCATATTTCATTGCTCAGATTTCAACCAGAATCTCAAGGATTTTCTAGGTTGATTTTTGAATTGAAGAACAAGCAAAGAAAGTGGTGTTATTTTTTCAAAATTAAATTTGGACTTGCTGATTATAATCTTATTTTACCCTTTTGCTAATGATATGCAACTATTTGATTTTCTATGAGATCTGAATGACATTGTTTAGAGCATAGTTCTTAGAATTGCACGATTCGTGGTTTGAATCACATGAGTTGATACAATTTGTAAAAGTAGGTTATTCGTATTATATAATGATTTGAAGATTGTTTAAAATCGTGTTGTTTAAAATCGTGTGATATGTGTGAGTCCGTATCATGATATGAATCACACAATTAAACAATTATTTTTTAACTTTTATTGTCTTTCTTTCATTGATTCTACTAATTAATTGATCGTCAAATAAGGGGTGTATTGGATTAGGATTTTAAATGAATTTTTTTGAGATAATTTTTTTTATAGATTTTAAAAGACTATTCAGAATTAGAGGGACTTTAAAAAGTCTTTTAATAGACTTTTTTTAGGCAAAAAATTAAAAATTATTATTTTAATAAATAATTACGAATACATAGCTGTTTTGAAACTATCTACGGATTTATTACACTCATTCACGCCCAAATTAAGCGTGACTCCCAAGGCATTCACGCCTAAATTAGGCGTGACTCATCTGGTGTTGACACGTGCCACAAAAAATTAATAGTTTAACCGTAAAACTTTATAAAGCCATAACTTTTGACTCGGGTATCCGAATGAGGTAAATTTTTTTTGATTACACATAATTTTTGGAGATCTACGCAATGACATCTCATTTGATATATTTTATCTCTCACAAAATAATTCAAATTTGCAACAATGATACTATAAAGATGACACCAAAGTAGATTAACTCATCTATAAATAAGATTGCACCAAATTTCCTATTAAATACAAAACGCAATCAACTCCTATAACATTAAATTCAAAAGGGAAAAATGTGTGTCATTTTAAAGGATGTAAAGTTATGTCATTTTAAGAGAGAGAAAGAAATAGATAAAGGAGGAGCGAGAGTTGACAAAAAAAAAATAAAGGTGTGGGTCTCACCTCTTTGTGAGAGTGAAAGGATATAAGTTATGTCATTTAAAAGAATAAACATTTTTCCCAATTCAAAATTCAAATAACCTCCAGCAAATTTATTTGAATTGGCGACAATCTGTAACCAACTCATAAAATTACAACGCAATCAGCTCCTATTAAATACAAAACACAATCAACTCCTATTAAATACAAAATACAATCAACTTATTGGAAGTTATTTGAATTTTGAATTTAATGTTATAGTACCATTATTGGGCGTGAATGAGTACAATATATTCGTAATTAGGTTCAAAATGACAACTTATTCGTAATTAATTATTAAAATATATACAAATTTATATAATATTCTACCAAGTGTTTAGAATATTTATTTCTTTATTAATACGGATTTTTCAAATTGATTTTTGAGTTTAAATCACAAATTAAATCTTTATTTTGTTTTTCTTATTAATAATAATTTTTTAATTTTTTTTGGTAATACACTATATAATACAATTATTGCAAATTTGAATTGTGTTTGTGAGAGATAAAATATATCAAATGAGATGTCATTGCGTAGATCTCGAAAAGTTATGTGGAATCAAAAAAAGTATTACCTCATTCGGATATCCGAGTCAAAAGTTATGGCTTTTCAAAATTTTACGGTTCGTAAGTTGACTTTTTTGCCACGTGTCAACACCAGATAATTCACGCCTAAATTAAGCGTGAATTCCTTGGGAGTCACGCCTAATTTGGGCGTGAATAGTCACGCCTAATTTGGGCGTGAATGAGTGCAATAGATTCGTAGATAGTTTCAAAACAGCTATGTATTAGTAATTATTTATTAAAATAGTAATATTTTAATTTTTTTGCCACTTTTTTTACAATCAAGATTTCACAAGATTGGATTTTAAAGCATTTTAATAGAATTTATAAGATTTGAAATGACAATATGGATTTATAAGATTCTAAAAAATCATATGAATTTTTAACAAACATTCAAAATTACAAGAGTCAATAAAAAAAATAACAAAGAAATGCAATGAAATTAATAAAAAAGTAAAACCTAATATAATTTTTAACAAACATTCAAAATTACAAAATTACTAAACAACAGTTCTTCACATATCTGAAGTTATACTAGTCCTCCATGCATTAGCATTTTCTCGTTCCTGCTCTTGAGTTTGACTAATGGGTTGAAAATTATCTTTTTTATTTGGTATCAAAGCTATGCACATATGATTATAAGATCCAATTTTTTTTAATTATTAAAATAATTCTAAATTTGCATATAGAACCTAAAGTTCATGATAAAATTTCGTTTGGAATTTTTTGCAATTGATCTTGAAAACCTTGGGGCTTTTGTTTTACGTGATGAGAGTTTTCTAATCGTATATCATATGCATATTTTCATTGAATATTCTAAGAAAATTTCGAATTTGAATTTCTGAGTTTTATCACATGAAAGTTTAGAAAATTTCTTAAAAAATTTTCAATCGATATATTGAAACCTTAAATTGCTTTGGGACTTTTGAAAAATAAGTTTTTAGTTATCTATTGACACAAAAATTGTTTAAAATTATTTTCTATAGTGAAGGAATTTCGTTCATGAATGTATTATTACCAAATATAGGGTTCATATTATGAGAGTTTCAGTCTTTCTTTAAATTGATATTGTTTCATCGATGTGAAACGAAAATTTTATTTTAGTTCACCTGTTATTTTCCCACTATTTTATGTTGTTTTTAATACAAAAATCACATATTTTTGTGTCAAGAAAAACCGCGACTCATAGATTGAAAAATTATTTTTTAAACTTTCAAAATTTCTCAAAAATGGCTCAAAAATATGCTGTCTTTGATATAAATTATATTAAAATCTCATTGGTTTGTTGTTTTTGAGTTGTTTTGTGATGAAAATCGCTCAAAAATATATTATTTTTGAGTTTTGACTAAGCTCCGATGGAGGAACATGATTTTGTGCTGGTCAACCTGAAGAAAACACTGCAATAGAGAAATTTCAAAAAATCTTAGGGGTTAGGGTAAGATTGTGAGAGAGACATTCTATTTATATTTCTTACTAAAAAGTCTCACGAAATCCACACCAACAGAAAATCCATTAAAATCGTTAAATTTTTTAATACTACAATATTGTTTTTTCATTGTTTAAAATCTTGATTGAATACCAACGGATTTGGACGGACTCTAAAATAATCTTTTAAAATCCTAATCAAATACCACATGACTTTTTTCAATCCATTAAAATCCTAATTTAATACAATTGGATTTTTTGTCAAAAAATAATCCATTTAAATATTTTGAAATTCCAATTGAATACACCCCCTAAGTTTAAATTGATTAATAAAAATGAATTAAAAGAGTGCGATTGAATTCAGTTTATTTAATATTCCATATGCCTTATTTTCCCTAAAGACGGGCTTGGTATATGCTATTTAGTTATTCTATTATTATTATTTTCATTTTTTAAAATAAAGGTTTTATAAAGTCACTCATTTAGTCTCTCTCTCTCTCTCTCTCTCTCTCTCTCTCTATATATATATATATATATATATATATATATATATATATATATATATATATATATATATATACACTAGTGAATTACACGTGCGATGCTCGGGGGAAAAAGAATGAAATTGTTGTCGCCGTCGTTGGTTAATCATTGCACCGATAAATCAACACATTTATCTTGCTATCAAGCTCTGAATGGTACAATGGTGGAGGTATAAACATGAAGGAACAAAAGCAAACCGGTTACTCGAGAAATATCAGCATTTTATATCAGCATGTAATATATTTTTATATTTATTCACAAAAATGATTCTTATAGTTGCGTCTAGATTATTATCTATCTATGTTTTTTGTAGTAAGACAATAAACATAATAATAGATATAAAAAAGTGTTGGTGAGCATGGGCAGGTCAGCCTGGAGCCCATTTTGCCACCTCTAACTGTCATCATTTTATATAAGCATGTCATATGTTTTTATATCTATCAACAAATTTTTTTTCTTCTTATAGTTGCATTTAGATTACTATCTATCTATATTTTCTATATTTAGACAGTAAACATAAGAAAAAAACAGAGTTGGCGGGCGGGGTAGGCCGGCCCTCCGGGCCGAACCCATTTTACCACCTTAACTGTCAGCATTTCATATAAGCATGTAATAGATTTTTATATCTCCACAAAAAAAATTCTTATAGTTGCGTCTAAATTGTTATCTATATATATTTTCTATAGTTAGACTGTATACATAAGTAAAAAATATGTTGGCCGGGCTAACTCGCCTGTTTGACGGACCGGGAGGGCCGGCCCCTCGGACCGAACCCATTTTGCCACATATATCTGTCAGCATTTTATACCGGTATGTAATAGGTTTTTATATTTATCCACAAGAAAAAGTTTCTTATAGTTGCCTCTAGATTATTATCTATCTATGTTTTATATAATTAGACAATAAATATAAGAATAAAAAAAAAACTTGTTGGTGCGCTGGGTGGGCCGGCCCTCCGGGCCGAGCCCATTTTGCCATCTCTAATAGTCAGCATTAGCATGTAATATATTTTTATATTTATCCACAAAAATGATTCTTATAGTTGCGTCTAGATTATTATCTATCTATGTTTTCTGTAGTTAGACAATAAACATAATAATAGATATAAAAAAGTGTTGGTGAGCATGGG